GATATCCACCTTATAGCCTTGGAGAGCTCAGGGTCAGAAAGTGTCCGATGCTCCAGTGATTGGAATGCCCTGACAGTGGCTGCTTTTGAATTCAGTCAGGCTAGTTCATATAGAAACACCCAGGGTGCTTTGGAGCGATGTCTCTGCAATTCAAAGGGATGGCTTACTGAGGCTAGAATGAAAAGACCAAGAAGAAGAAGAGCTCCTTCTTGGGACACACACAATGATGGTGTGATGATGAGCATGCTAGGAGTGTCAGGGCAGAGGGCCCTGATGAACTGATCCTATTGAGGACAGCTGACGACAACAGAAGGTCTTTTCATATTAAATTTGGAGCAAAGAGAATAAAGACTGCATAGATCCATTGCGGCCTAGGGCAGCTGGTGTCTGTGTGGCAAAAGAGGAAGGGGCAACTCCACTCTGCCTGCAGAACATCTGGACAGAGACCAACCTGCAGGTGCGCGGAGTATTGGCAAGTCCCCATAGGAAAGGAGGATCCTAGCAGCTCTGAGCGCTGTGGGCGTGGTCAGCATCCTGAATCAGATGACTCTCTAGCCAAGACATGGAATGACTGGGAGATGAGGGTCTGCCTTTGCGGGGGTTATTTGAGAGGCGCTGGTGGTCAAGAGAGATGTGGATGATGACTAGAGGTGGGTGAGACCTGAGAACTCAACTTTGCTAATGGGGAGGGTCTTGGGATAAAGGAAGAGCTTGAACTGCAAACCAAGGATAAGCTATGGGGGAAAGCCACAGCAGCTCACATCATTTTCCATTTTTATGGTTTTCCATTATCTGGACTGGAGCTTAGAAGAACATACTTGTGTGTGTGTGTGTGTGTGTGTGTGTGTGTGTGTGTGTGTGTGTGTGTGTGTGTGCTAATAATGGCTCTTGAGCTCATGGACCTCATGTTCCCACTTTTTCCACAAGGCTGGTACTCTATCACTTGAGCTACACCTTCACGTCTTTCACGTCTGCCTTTTGGTTGGTGTACTAGAGACTAGAATGTTTCGTATTTGTTTGCCCCAGCTGGCTTTGAACCTTCATCCTACGAAGACATGCACTTGCTTGAGTGGTCTGCTCCAAGCAGTGATGATTCACAAGGCAGAGGTGGTCTTTGGGGCCTCAGGTGGCAGCAGAGGTCCCCAGACACTTTGTAATCTTCTTATCCTGTCCCTGTTAACACGTGGCCTCTGACTTCTCCTTTTTCTTTCTCCTTCTCCTTATTTATTTTGCATTCATTTTCTTTCTTCTCCTCGTTCTCTTCTCCCCTAAGATTGGCTGCTGGCATGATGCATGGTGGGCATGAAGTTGGACAGGAAGCCCACCACACCAGAGGGCAGTGTGCAGATCCATAGTAGTCCCAGAAACTGGAATACTATGCTAAGTTTATCACGATGGTGGGTGTCAGGTTGGGTTGAAAATTCAGCGAAATCAAGTGTACTAAGCCTCTGGCATGTAGGCACACAGTTGAAATGAGTGGCTTTTCTATTTCTATCCTGAATATTTTAGTGTACACACATCAGTCTTCCTGTAAGACCAAGTGTCCCCATTTCAATTCTGAGACAAGGGGGTTACACCTCCTTTTCAGGGCTCCTTGAATAGTCTGGTGTCAGGGACTCAATGTCCATGGTGGGCAAGGCTATGTGAACTGTGAAAAGGCGGCTCAATGGGCCCTGCAGAGGGGCGCCAAGTGAAGTAGGATGGTTTATTTGTACCCTGGAAATGATTTAGTGTGGACCTCCTCATTCTCCAGAGGGCTGTGTGTGGTCAGGGAAAGGAGGAGAGAGAAAACTTGTTTGAGTATGTGAGTGTGTATATGCTTGAGTGTGAGTATGTCAGAGTACATGTGCGTGTTTCATATATGAGAGTGAATGTATGAGTGTGCATGTGAGTGTAAGTGTATATCTACGTGTTCACTCATGTGTGAGTGTGTGTGTGTGTGTTTGTGTGTATGCCAGTCCTGGGGCTTAAAGTCAGGGCCTGCGCACTGACCCTAATTTTTTGTGCTCAAGGCTAGTGCTCTCCCATTTGAGCCCCAACTGTACTTCTGACTTTTTGCTGGTTAATTGGAAATAAGAGTCTCATGGACTTTCCTGCCTTAGCTATTTTTGAACTGTGATCCTCAAATCTCAGCCTTCTGAGTAGCTAAGATTACAGGTGTGAGCCACTGGTGCATGGCTTGGGCTGGTGTTTGGTTATTATTGTTTTTAAACACAGGAGCTGTTTTAGGACAAGTTGAAGTCTCCTTTTTCTGCTGGTTGGGCAGCTTCTTTAAAAAAATTTTTGTTTTTCTTTTTTCAAAATCTCATTTTTTTAACCAGGCATTGGTGGCTTACATATACAATCCTAGCTACTTATGGGGCTGAAATGTAAAAATCATGGTTCAACACCAGCCTGGGCAGAAAAGGCTCTTTTTTTTTTTGCCAGTCATGGGGTCTGAACTCTGGGCCTAGGCGCTATCCCTCAACTCTTCAGCTCAAGGCTAGCACTGTACCACTTAGGCCACAGTACCACTTCCAGCTTTTTCTGCTTATGTGGTACTGAGGAATCGAACCCAGGGCCTCATGCATGCAAGGCAAGCGCTCTACCACGGAGTCACCTTCCCAGCCCTGACTGACTCTTAACTTCAATTTACCACCAAAACACTGAGCATGGCACTGTGTTAGACCACCAGCCTTGAGCAGAAAAAGGTAAGCAACAGCCTCAGTACTGGCACATACACAAAAGGGCAATTTTTGTTTTATTTCGCTGGAGGCCTCTGAATGAAAAGGGCTAGATGTGGGTGCTGAGTGCTTCCTTCATAGTGTGATTGTGCTAGGAGGAGACAGCCAGAAGACAGAACTGCCTAGAGCCTGAGAGACATTTCTGTATAACCAGCCCCTGGAGTCCCAGGGATCTAGGAGCTCAGTCACTCACTTCTACAATTACCCTGGCTCTGGGGAAATATTTTTTCAATGATGAAAATTCTGAAATGCTAGGTGGTGCCTGGTTCTGCAGTACCCATCACCGACTGAAGGGGTGCTAGAGGATCGATGGCCTACTTTCAGAAACCCGAGGGAGGGCCATGTGGCCTGGCAAGGCAGGGATGTGATGGAGACTAGGCACAGCCCAGACCCACACTGCCTGGCCTGGGTGTAGTTCCTCCAGCTCTCAGCCCTCTTAGTCACTTGGGCTTGCACATGTTCCTGGCTCCAAGTGCCTGAACCAGTCCAGCACTCTGGAGGATCAGGCAGCAAAACCCAGGATGGCAACTGGCAAGCTGGGGGGAAAAAAGCTGTCCTCAGGCAAGCTGCAAACAAGTCAGAAATGCCATGGAAGTCAAGCTGGTGGCTGGGAGTCATGTGCTTTTTAATAAGGCAACTGCTGCCCAGATGCTGACTCTTGCAAGGGTGGTGGGAGCCACAGGCATGTCTGGGTAGCAGCAGCCTGTGTGTGTGTGTGTGTGTGTGTGTGTGTGTTGCAGTCATTCCTCCCAGATGAGAGTCCTGGAGGCATAGCCTTCTGAGCTGGGTGGAGATGACACATCGAGGGCAATCAGGAATCTTTGGATGCAAGTAATAGAGACAGGCTCTAGGCAACGCCAGTGAGAAGGAATTAATTACGTTATGCTGTGGGGGTGGAGTGAGATGGAGGTGGACCCCAGGATTGGAAGGACCAGTGGACAACTGAGCTGTAAAAAGCCAAAGCAGCCTGGCAAAGTCCCCATGGCAGGAATGTGTAGGTAATTTCCCAAACGGAAATTGGGCTTGGTTAGGAAGGATGCTGAGTGATATAAAACTGAACCTACCCATCAGATGTCTGCTCTAGTGTCAGAGAACAATGATTTGTCCTTCCTTGGGCTGGATACCAGTGGTTCATACCTATAATCCTAGCTACTCAGGAAGTTGAGATCTAGGGATTGCAGTTCGAAGCCAACCTTTGCGGGAAAGCCTGTGAGACACTTCTGTGAGACACTTTATCTTCAGTTAAACAGCAAAAAAAAGGCTGAAGTGGATCTATGGCTCAAGCAGTAGAGTATTGGCCTTGAGTGAAAAGCCTAAGTGAGAACATGAGGCACTGAGTTCAAGCCCCAGTATTGGCACGCGTGCATGTGCGCACACACACACACACACACACACACACACACACACACACACACACACACACACACAGAGCTCTCCCAGAAAAAAACAGAAGCAAGCAAGCAGAAGCAAGAAGGGTGTGGGGCATGGTATGAACCAAGGAGCTGCCCGCCTAGGAGACAGAAAGAGCAGGATGGAGTGAGGAGCAAGGATCGTGCAATCCTCCAATGCTGTGACCTCTTCAGGCTGAGGACTCCTCTGGGCACTGGACATTGAGCCAGGGCCTCGTGAAGCAGAATTTGGAACAGGAGCTAACAGTATGGGGCTTCTCACAGCAGAGTTTGCTTGTTGGTAGATGAGACCAAACCCCAGGAATTTTCTACTCGGGGAGCAGAAACTTTTCTTTCCTGCCTCTCCAGCATCTTTAATTCCAAGCCCTGCTCTGATTGATTCCCAGGAAGCATTTCTGCCAATTGTCTCTGCTCTTCCCTGTATTGGGCCATGGATCTTCTGGGGTGAGGGGCTGCTACTCTGGGGCTCTTTCTAGTAGATGTCTTAGTCTCTACATCCCTTAGCTGCTGCTAAGAAGATCTGGTGTCCAAATGACACATTCTCCTCCTTTGCTCTTCCCCTCTCCCCTTGAAGGCAGTGTGATACTACCCTTATTCCACAGTCAGGAAGGGAGACCAAGAATCAGGTGACTCATCTGATGTTAGCACTTGTGGTGTGCTGAATGACTGATGACTGTCTCACTGTCCCATTGCTTCTCCCTGCAGAGCCCTGTGGTCAAATGTGTCTGGGCCAGCTACCCTGGGCAATCGCCAATCTCAGGACTCCCCTCAGGGGGCCAAGCTTGCCCTGAAGATGGATGGCTACTGAAGCATTTGTCCTGCTAAGCCTACTAAGCCCTGCTCGACCATCCGGGTCCTGCTGATCACCATGGCTGCTGGGGAGGGGGCTCCACTGAGCCCTTTGTCTGAGATCAGGCAGCAACTTAGTGAGCCTGAGCAGAGCCAGGACTGCAAGCCAGTACTGCTTGAGAAAACGAACCACCTGCACTCTGAAGCTGTCACGGAGCCCAGCGGCCAAGATGTGGCCCATGCTGAGCCAGCTGAATCATTGGTACCTAGAAAACCTGTACCAGGCAAGCTGCATCTGTCCGGGAAGGCATATATGAGCCAAAGGCAGAGTGCCTTCACGAAGCTTCCACAGCTCCAGGTGAGGCTGGGGGATTGCCAGGCCTGGGAAGGAGACCACAAAGACCAGCCAGGTCAGCCTCATCCCCAGCAGCTGGCCCTGGACATTCCCAGGGCCATGGAAGGCAGCAACACAGATTGCTCTGTGGGGCCTCAAACAACCAGAAGTGAGCAGAGAAGTGCATTCAGCAAACCTACTAAGAGACCAACAGAGCGATCGAGGTGTTTTCCTGTCATCCCAGTAGGGGCGCCTGGAGATTCCTTAGGGGTGCTCTCAGGACTCCTCACGTCTTCAGACATCCCTGGCTGGGGTGGACTGTCCACTTGCACACTCCTGGGTGATTACTGGAATTTGAGAATGCTGTCACAGAACTCTGTGCTCTGCAGTACCTTTCAAGGGACCCCTATGCTGTGGCTGGAACACACCCAGGTCCGGGTACCCACACCTTTGGCGCCCCCTGCCACCGCCTCAAGGGCCCTCCTGCCGTCCCCACTCTCCTCCCCAGGCTTGTCCACCCAGAACTGGTGCGTCAAGTGCAGCCTTGCCTTCCGCCTGACGGCTGACCTTGTCTTCCACATGCGGTCTCATCATAAACGGGAGCACGCGGGCGCTGACTCACTTCCCAAGAAGCGCCGGGAGGGGGCGCTCACTTGCCACGTCTGCCACGAGTACTTCCGGGAGCGCCACCATCTCTCCAGGCACATGACTTCTCACAGTTAGCAGGTGGCCTGGGGTCCAGTGTCCCGCAGTGAGGAAGATGTGGACAAAGAGGGGCTGGACCCTCTCCAGAGATGAACATTTCCAGACGAGGCAACCTGTATGATGTGTTCTGCAGGAAGTGAAGTTGTGGCTTGTAGGGGTGTACTTTTCTTTTTTTCTCTAGGTCTTGAACTCAGGGTGTGGGCGCTGTCCCTAAGCTGCTTTGCTGAAGGCTAACACTCTACCATTTGAGCTACAGCTTCATGTCAGGCTTTTTGGTGGTTACGTGCAGAGAAGAGTCTCACAGACTTTCCTGTGTAGGCTGGCTTTGAACCTTGGTCCTCCGATCTCAGTCTCCTGAGTCGCTAGGATTACAGGCATGAGCCACTGGGGCCCAGCTCAAAGTGTGTTTTGCTTATTGAGGCTCTTGAGACCCAAGGGGAACAGGGGGGGCAAGCTGTTCCAGGCACCATTCCTATTAGTGTGCACAGAGGCACCTCTGGTACACACATTTTTGGCTTTGCCTATTCTAATCTGAACTCTTCCACCTGTAGCTGTACCCTTGGACATGTTTCTTCTGCCTAATGCTCCTCATTTTTTTTCTCTTCTGTAAAATGGTGTGGTGATATTTATGTCTTGTATTTATTTTTATTTTCATTTATTTTTTGTAAATGTTGGTACTGGGGCCTGGGTATTCTCTCTTAACCTTTTCACTCAAGGGTCTCACTCTACCACTTGAGCTACTCCTCTACTTTTTGCTAGTTAATTGGAGATAAAACCCTCACAGTTTGTTCTTCCCTGGCTGGCTTTGAACCATGATCCTCAGATCTCAGCTTCCTAAGTAGCTAGGATTGCAGCAATGAGCCCCCAGCACCTTCTTTTTAGACACAGGTTTTACACTCTTTGTCATTTGTGGTAGGTCTAAAAATCATATCACATATGTAACATCAATCTCTGAAGCAAATCTTTAAAAAATAAGTCATTCTTTGCTAAGCTTTGCTTTTTGTTGTGGCCCGGAGAGACAAATCATCAGCAATCAATTTTGAATAGGGAATGGGAAATGGGTTCAATTAATAGGAGAGGGAGGGAGAAGAATGATAAATTTGGCGTTTTCTCCCTCTGAATCTTGGGTTTTCCCAGGGCTGGGGGCAGAAGGCTCTACCGTCTGATCCCTTTGCTGCTCTAAGCTGCGTGGATTAGGCTATTTTTGGTCCCAGCCACTCTGGTCCTTAGGCCAGGTGGTAGCTAAGTCCCATAGGAAGTGGGAGGGTGGCCAGTGGAGGGACTTGAAGGCAGTTCCTCCTTGTTCAGGAGTGTTTGGGCTGCATAGTTTCTCTTCCATTCCATTCCAGCTATGTGGGCCCCCAGGGCCTTGCTGACACTCAGGACTTGCGCAGGGGAAGTAGATGTGGGGACACGGGTATAGGAGGGTGAGTGAGACAGAAAATGTGCTTAAGTTCTGCTCTCTGGTGCTTCAGCCTAGCCTGAAGTTGGGGCTTTGTAAGGACATTCAGGCGTACCTTCCACATTCCTTCCTGGTAGAATATACACTATTGTCTTTGTTATGGAAGTGACCATAACATCTCCTAGCAAACATTTCCAGGCCAGGTTCATCTTTTCCTTCCTAATAGGGGTGTGGCTAGTTCTTGACTGACAGCACTTGGATATAGGCCTCCAGTCCCCCGACCACCACCCTCTCCCCACTTGCTCTAGCCCTGCATGGTCAATCAGTCTCTGATGAGGAGGCTGATGTGCCTTTGAGAGGCCTGTGCCCCCTCCCGATCATGTGCGCATGCCTAGTCCCTGCCCGGGGCCTTCTTTGGAGCTCCTTGCTTTATTCTATTACTTGTGCCTGGCTGGCCTGGCACCCTCAGAATCTGCCTGGGGAGAAGGCAAAGGGACAGGAGGAGATGGGCCTGGCCCACCCTATATTCCTTTCTTCACCTAACAGTCAAAGGTTTGGCTGTCCAGAATGTACTATGAATTTTGGTGAACAGTAACAGAAACTTGCAGGTCTGACTAGTCCAGTTTGCCACCTTTGAGTCCCCTCAGGGCCCAGATGGCCCACTGGTCATTCACAAAGTCAAAGAAACAATCTCTCAGCCCACTCTGCCCAGCCATGACTGACATAACTCCCTACCAGGTCTCAGGAGAAACATCAGCTTGACCTTCAGGAAGAATTTCATCATGGAGCCAACCCTTCTGGTGCTGACCAGCCATGCCTTCCCAGAGGTAGAGCAGGGGGCTGTGATGGGAGGTTGGACACCAATCTGAGACAAGAGGTTGAGGAGTCAGGGAGGGGAGAGAGGGGATGGCAGGCTGGGCCCTGAGCAAAGCCATATCAAACACAAGCCCCTCTTGGTCCTCATGAAAGACTGGGAGGATGGGGTAAGGGTGGGAAATGGGGTATCTGGGTGTCTGGGGGCAGGTGTGGGTGTGTGGATGATGGTGAGCTGAGGATAGGAACTGGCTTGGGGCAGGCAGGGCTAGGCAGGGTGGGAGCAATGAGCTCAGATCTGGGTGCTGAGAGTTTAAGGGGCTTAGGGGCTGTGTGAGCCTTGGTCACTGGGTGGCTATTGGCCAACTGGGTCCGACACCCATAGAGAAGATGGGTGGGACTTGGTTTTCTTTTTCCTTTTGCTGTGTCTGAGCATGTAACTACATGAGCAGGCATGCGTGCGGGAAGCTTAACCTTTCAGTTGGCAGGGCGGACTATTTTTATTTTCTTTCTACCTTAATTGTTCTTCTCCAACTGGGCTCACCATGCAATCAAAACAGCAGTATCTTTGCAGTCAGATAAATGTGAGATCAGGTCCCATTCATCTCATTTATTGGAAGAAAACAAAGCCTTTAGTCGACAAGGGTTGGAAGGGATTTCCAGCAAAGGCTGCGCCCAGGCTCAGAAAGGAAACTGGAGACACCTCGCTAGGCAGCAGCTGGAGAAAGCAGCCAGGACCCCAGCCAAAGTCACTTCCGGGAGCTGCCACTGGAGGGCGCAACTGCCACCTCTATTCATGACAGGGACAGGCATATCACTGCTCCCCTCCCCCACAAAGGACATCCATCTGGCCCATCATGTCTGGTTCCCTGGTTGCTTCTTCCTGATTAACCCTCTTTTCCAGGCACCTTGCACTAACAAAGACAAGCCTATATATTCACATCCCTAGGCCTCTAGGCTTCTAGGCCTTCCAGCTTCAGAGAGGAAAGATGGCAGCTAATGTTGGCTGGATGCTAGATTGACTCATAATTTTCACAGCCTCAAATGTAGTTTGTGAGTGTGTATGTGTGGCGTGTGTGTGTGTGTGTGTGTGTGTGTGTGTGTGCCAGTACTAAGGCTTGAATTCAGCGCCTGGCTCTTTTTGCTCAAAGGTGGCACTCTATTATTTGAGCCACTGTTCATTCCAGCTTTTTGGTGGTTAGTTGGAGATAAGAGTCTCCTGTACTTTTTTTGCCTGGGCTGGCTTCAAACTGTGATCCTCAGATCTCAGCCTCTTGAGTAGTTCAGATTATAGGAGTGAGCCAGAAGTGCTTGGTTCAAATGTAGTTTCATCTCTCCCATTGAAGGGATGAGAAAACTGAGACTCAGAGAGGTGAAGTAAGTTGCTCCGTATTGCACAGCTGGGAAGCAGCTGGGCTGGCCTTCTCTCCTCGGCAGGCTGACTCTGGAACCTGGTCTCCTAACCACCTCATTGCTGCTTCGTGACTGCCACAGGCACAGAGGGGGAGAAATTTTCTGCAAGTCCATGGAGTGTGTATGTATATGTGTGTGTGTGTGTGTGTGTGTGTGTGTGTGTGTGTGTATCTAAGTGTGCAAGTGTGCAAGTGCTGACTAGCATAAAGAAGGACAATTGTCCACCAAGCTGGCTGAGTGGCCTGGGGCAGATTGTTGAGCTTGCTGTATCTCAGTACCCTCCTGTAGTGAAGGAATCCATGCAGCCTGAGTCTCAGAAGACAGAGAATCGCAAATATTCCATCTCTCTGTCCCTTCCCCTGTGGAAGATCTCTGGGACCTGTGCCATTTGCTGAAGCCCACAGCCCTGGCACTCCACGCATTAAACCCAAACAGCTACCTATGAGTCTTGACAATGGGAGCCAAAGAAACCCAGTGAGATAAAAAGAAAATCTAGAGAAAGAACCAAGGTAACAATGGCCGGTGATGGTGACAGGGTTAGGTGCTCAGTGACATCATTTATTTTATCTTTTGGAATACTGACTATTGCATTGGAAAGTGATGACATGTGATCACTAGGAAGGGGAAGAAAACAGCCAAGTATTTACAAAGGTAAAATTAATATCCAGAATTCTGTCACTTAGAAGAGACCCTGGTGAAAATTTACATGATCTTCAGAGAGATACATGTATCTATGTATATACATAAATACATATCTGTATCTATCATCAGTGCATCTATGTATCTATTATCTAGCTATCATCAATCTTTCACTATCCATTACCTACCATGTATATATCTATTTATCATCTATCGATTGCTATAATGTATCTATTATCTATTTATCTATGGAGAAATGGGGAAGGAAGATAGAGAAGTCATCACACTGAAAAGTAGTCACACGTTTGCCTGAAGATTCAAAGGTCTTAAAGTATAAGATCACATTGTATACATGTACACCCCAGATTTTATGCCCACTTGACCTTACTTGAATATAGCAGAAAAACAAGGGACTTCAGTGAGATTTTAGCCTGGATCAGGCAGAGTTTGGGTAGGGTTAGCTCAAGGGTTGCCCCGTGGACACCCCCTGGGCTGTGTAGCTCCCCCAAAGCTGGAGAGGCCAGGGCTGTTCCCCAGGCCCAAGAGAAGTTGTCTTTGGGGAGTTTACTGATCCAGCAGGGCTGGCAGCTCCAGTGTGACCTTGGAACCTTCCAAGGCTACATGACACTGGTCACTGCACTTGAGGGCCCTGGGCTCCTGGGCCCCGACTAGGAGTTAGAATGCCCTCTTTTCATGACCAGCTTCCCCTCCATCAGGACTGTGGACAGGACCTCACAGGCTGTTGTTTTTG